AAACATGAGATGGAGCCAAACAAAACGTGCTCCCTCCTTGAACCACACACTTCACTAATTGCAGCGATGGGGATGTCCTATAGAGGAGAAGCTCAGCAATAAGGTTCACTCACAATGGACAATCAGTGGGAAAAAGGTGGAACAAGAACATTATTTCTGTCCTCGGTAAACATCACAGTAAATATCTGTACCATTTCAATAAAGGAAGGGTAGAAACTGTGCAATGGACTGTTTATTTGGAATGTATTTCACTGGAATCTTTAAATAAGTGGAATTAATTCATCCCAACTGAGATATAGAGTATAGTGGTTTTCAGCTTCTAAATTGTGATTAAGCCAATCTCCCAAGAGACACATTTCCCTACACATGCAAACTAGTTGCATGTGTCGTACCTAGTATCTTCAAAAACACCTATAGGTTCATGAAAGCATTACTTTCTCTGAAACAGTCCCACTAGATTGCATCAGATATGGGTTTGTGACACCAAATTTCACCTGCGATTAGTCTTAAATGAGGTCACGTCTGCTTTAGTCTACATTTGTAACATGGTCTCTGGGGAAGAGTTAGTGGCATGTGTTTGTGTGTGTGTGTGTCTGTGTCTGTGTGTGCGTCTGCTGAGGTCACGGCCCCTCACATTCACATATGGGGCATGACGGCTGCATGCCAGAGCTGTGTGCGGCCGCAGTCACAGCAATGGAGCATGTACAGACAAACACTCCACTTATGACAACCACTGCTCTCAAATGCATCCATGTACACCGGAAAGACCTGTTTGAGCCACATTTGAGGATCGTAAAATAACTAATCAGCCCCCAGCTCAAAGATACTTCATCATTATATACAGTATAAGCAAAAAACTAACCCACGTAAATACATATATCTGAAATAATGTTGTATGACATAGACACGGTTTTTCTTCTTCTGGGTTTGGAGATTTGTGAACTTTAAATGTTGACATGATGAGGTCGAATGATCAGGTTAATCGTTATGGATTAATATATCCAGCACTTATAATAATAGCCAATGTTATATTCATCCTTTTGACCTTCAGACCAATCAATCAAATCAATACAGAAACATTGCTGTCCAGAGTCTAAACTAAACATGGGGGAGGCAGCTTTTCAGATTCATGCAGCTATAATCTGGAAGAGTCTTCTCAAAAATGTGAGACAGGCTTTGTTTTCGTTAGTATTTTTTTCAAAAACCTTGATAGCATGACAGACAACCTCTCTTATTTCTTTTCATTTTTCTTAAATCTACAATTAGTCAAAAAAATAAACAATTGCATACCAAAGGCCACTAACTACCCTTTTATCACTGTCATTATGTCCAGCTGCGTAATCTCTGACCCATCACTAAGATGCTTTGAGAGTCCATCACACAGGCTGCTGCTGCACAGGCCGCCATGCACCGCTGCAGAGGGAGAGCCATGGGAATTTCACTCCTAATTGTCCCTGGGACCTTTTTAAAGAATATTAGGCTGCATTAGTCTGCCGCTGGCCTTTCATTGGCAGAGGGCTACAGCAGCTCCACTCACCCAGCGCCCCATTAAACCTGACAGGTCTTTGTGATGAACTCGGAGCAAAGTGGGACCGGTAAACTCTAAGGCTAGCAGGTTAGCCATCCAAGCGCCTGGTTAATGTCAAACGGCAAAACCTCAGGCCTATTAGGAGCTATTTAACATCCCAGTGGAGGCCGAAGGTATGTGCTGTTAGCTATAACTGAAGCAGGATAGATCGGAACCGACACAATATACGGATCATTAGACCAAGGACTTTTCAGCTTCACTGATGTCATTGTGGCTGCGTAATGCTCTAAACACCTTGCAACAGCCTTGCCTCACAATCAGCTCACTTCGTAAAACGCTTGCCACAAAGTAAATCTTGAATTACTGTCAAAGCACGATAGGATATGATACCGCTGATTTCTTGGATAACATTTAGGATTTTCGGGGGGTCAAATTTTGTCCTCATAGAACGTCCCACTTTCCATCAAACGAACAAAGTTGGACAAACAGTAGACCGTGAACTTACAGGCTTTTGTGTGGGATAGAAGTAACTTAATAGTTGTTTTGTTGTAAATTATTGCTTTGCATAGACTTGCACATGCAGACTTTTTGCCACTTTCAAATATATCTGTTCATATAGCAGCCATAGTAACATGAAACGCTCATTTAAACTGGCGGCAAAGACTTTCTTGATGTTTTAGGACGTGACTTGTATTATTTTAGACACCTGACCCGGCCGGCCTCTGGGGCAGCACCATTGTGAAGCACATTAGTGTCGTTAGGGAGACTTTGGCGGCTCGTGTGGAGTAGCTCTGGTTAAGGCCGGTGTTAAGCTGCCGCTCTCTGGGTTGTCAGGCCTGGACTCGCCCCAAGCCCTCAGTGACACGTACGGATTTAACGGGGAATGGAGCTAGACTGAGGAGGGGTGTAGGCTAATTTAAGAGGTCACATCATCTCTGAGGCAAGCGGCTTATATTTAAAGAAAGATAACAAAAGGCAAAGAAATGGTAACGAGTATGCACATTGACGTGTATTTTTATTTTGACTATTGTTTACGTAAGTGCACTCTGAAGGTTAGGATCAATTTGAACTATGACTAATAGTTTAATCACTCATGCTTGTGTGCTTTTTGTACACTAACTTTGTCATGCCATGGCGCACTGACCCTGGAGCACTGCAAGTGTGGGTGGCTGGTCTAATTTTTTCCGCAGTTGGTAAAGCATGGAGACCACAGGCGACCTAAATATGTTCCGTCCTAAAGTCAGCGTACTGCAGACGTGAGCTCTGACTTGACAAACCTATTTGTTTCACATGGTTTTTTTACATGAGAGACTTTGAGCAAGGTTTTACTGACTTATATAACAATATTCATACCCTTTCCACTTTTTAGTCGAACCAATCAATTGACTGGGCATTTGGTTAGTTGATAAAGTATTTCTTGTTGACTACAGCCCTAATGGCCTTGAAAAAAAAAAAAAACCTAAACAATGGAATACACTGAAAAAGAAAAGTCTTCCAACAAAAATGTCAAAGATGTTGAAAAACGTATTTCTCAATGATTTCTGTAGATTAGACAGCTTAAAACTAGAATATGTTGATACTCTTAGACACCAACAAAAACTGCTAACCAGTGTGATGAGTAAAGAGCTTGCATTGTCTATTAACGCAGCATGTAAACAAAGCCTTTACTGACCACAGATGTAGAATTGAGTGTGTGAAAAGGACCATCTCTGTCTTTCTTTCACTCATCTTGAGACTCAACTCTGACCCTGCCACATCATTACTCACTATCGGTGGAAAGTGCTCCCCTGTTTGGAACTTAAAACAGGGCATATGCCACAATGAATGAGAATCCATTAATCAACACTGGTTAAGTACTAAGCAGACACATCTGGGACAGGGAAACTTAAAAAGAAGTCATCTACAGAAGAAAATTGAATACTAGGACAATTCATACCTTCTATGCTTTGCCACTTTGTTGTATTTATATATATATATGCATTTGAGTAAAACATATGAATATATTGTTGCCTGTTGCATATGGCAACTTAGCAAAGGTGGTCAAGAATGGGCGGAGCTTCCTTGTTGGCGACACAAAGCGGTCGCCATGCAATCATCTCAGTGTAAAATCACCAGGACAAAGCCAGACAAAAGCAGGGGGCTGGTGGCTGGGCAGGGACAGCTGTGAGCAGAGCCTACACATCCCGCCTCAATATGGGCCCTCCTCACATCTGTAGCCGCTTGGCCCCTGCTTCCGCCAACGTCCAAGGACAATGGAGACCCTCAGCGTGCCTCTTTGTGTCACATGTTTCAGAAAGCCTTTTTAGCCTAAATCTTAAATATTTCATTAGGCCTCCCCTCGCCCTGCGCCCCTTTCTTTGGGCTGTATTTTTTTTTTTGAGAGTATCACCCAAGACCCTTGCTCCTATCCGCCCTCCCTTCTGCTAAGGTAACGCCCAGCACAACAAAAGATGTCTTACAAAACCGTTTTGGACCTGTTTTACTCAAGAACCAGTTAAGATTAAACAGACAGCAGCCTCACATCCTAAATTATAAACCGAGCATGTGCAATTTCCCCTTCTTGTCTAGAGATGTGGAGAGTTCTGAAAAATATCTTAGTAAAGTTCAATAAAGATGGATTAGCACATTATGTTATATAATGATATCATTCTGATGACACATATTTTGTGTCATGTTTTTATTTATTTTTATTTCAATTGTCATGCTGTGTACAAGTTATGCTGCACAAATTACGCTTTACAATTACACTTTTAAACATGTAGCCTTAACTAAAGCCTACATTTAACTAAATGACTAAATGTAACTTTTGAATAGCTTTAATTGTTGTTACTGTCCATAAAATCTTCATGTAAATGACCCCTTTCATTCTTACAGTGAGGACATACCAATAGACTTGCCGAGTACATCATTGACAACAAACTGCCGTTGTGCCAAATCTATTCATCACATTACAGAGTCATTATGGAGTGCTGAGGCTCCACTCTCAATGCGCAGGCGGACCATGTGTTGGAAAGAGGTGGTCAAACACTCCCATCTAAATATTGAACACTTGCTAATAACTTTTTGGCCCCTTCTGCACAACTTCTGTCACATCAAATCAAAAGCTCTGAAAAGGATTTGTCTTAATGCCCGGCTTTAAAACGTGCCCGATTGGATTGGCCAACAAAAAAGATCTTTTGTGACGAAAAGAATCGAGAGGGGGTCGGTTTATCCACTAACTACTTCACGAGAGGCTAATGAATAATTCAGTGTTATCATTCAACTTGATGCTCGATTATTTTGTTTTTCTTCTCTCTTCACACGTGAGGGACCAGGGTGTGACGGGGGGTATGATGCGGGGGCACCTAGGGGGAAGTAATGCACGCACACAGGGGCCACGGTGCAGTCACTCTGCCGTCATCTTGATAAATATAATGTGTCAGCAATTAAAAACTCGTTGCCATTCTTTAATTCAGCCAAGCCCTTGTTAACCATGGCCTGGCGGGAGGCTGCCACTGTGGCCCCTGCCCTGCACCAGCTCCAGCAGAAAGGAGGCCCCGGCGTTCCCATCCTTTTAGCCCACAGCTTGTCCCATTGGCATGTAAATAAGACATTCATAGAGCAGCACTTTTTTGATAGAAAAAATGACCATCAACCTCTTTGATTTTCATCTTTTTCGCAGCAGAAAACAAAGAATTCTATAGTTTCCGATTTTTATTCAAAAAAACCTTTTTGGGCCTTTCTTTGTCGACATTCTCATGGTAATGGTGTTGACTCAACTTTGTACAACGTGGCCATAGAAGGCATATGAACCCTAGCAGGAGTCCATTACAGAAATACCATTTAGCAAGCAGTTTCTGTGAGAAAGTCAAACGTTTAGAAGTTTTTTTGTGCCAAACAGGGAGTAGGGTCCTGGAGCAGCAGCAGGAGGCCTTTGGAAAGTGGAGTGAGACTAAAGACCTCTGAGCTCTGAGATCCTCCACAGCTGAAGTCACAAGTGTGGAAAACGCACCAAAAGCACTTTTCCAACAAAGTCCATGTCATTGTCACCCATGACCGGGGAGCCATTTAGTAACTCTCTGCATTGACAAGGGACGAGGAGAAAACACTGCATATACACCGTGACTATATGTCAATCAAAAATCATTCACTAAACTAAACCAGACAGGATATAGAGCTCGGTCTAGAAAGAAAGAAAATGACCATGATGCACTATAAATAATGTTTTGGCAGAAATGGCTTCTGTAGAGTGTGTTTACATCCATGCATTCATCACTTTGGGATGAAAAACTGTGTGAATAATCAATGCGCTGTGCAGTTTTTCAGTACTTTTAGAGACATACAGTACTAGTGAAAAAATGACAAAATATGTGGGGCCGGGAACGTGTCACAGCAGAAGACAATTTATTGTTGGTAAACCAGACCAGAGTTTTGCATGTGATTTTAAACCAGAAAAGGACGCTCCTCTCAGCATCGGCAATGGCACCAATAGTATGTTAGCTTTGACCTTCAGATAATCAAAACATCAAGTGGAAAATCACCAACTTCTGCAGACCGTCGTAATGACAAGCTTAGTGTTAACATAGTTGCATCAAATGTTTCATAAAAGATCCATAATGTGAAAATATGGAAATTTAGTTTACCCAAGGGGAAGACAGATAAACGTCAGTCTGTCCTTGCCCGCCGCATGACAGTTACAGTTCCATAAATTTGATGCTTATTTTTATAATGATATAGGCAAAGTTTAAAAAAATAAAGTTTTCCTGACGTTGCAATACTAAATGTATTGATGTTTTGAGATGATTATATGTAGTTAAAATGCCTTTGTTTTTTGACTTGATCGCTCAGTGTTAAAGACACTATAGTGGGAAAAATATCTCGGATTGGATGCATTTGTCAGAGTTGAATTGTAGGAATTTTGGAGGTCACTCTGCTTCATAATGGCCATTCTCTCTGCGTCCCTCATCAGTCCCATTCACATTGCATAAATGGAATTTAAAATATTTGGGGAGACAAAAACCAAGGCCGGTCATCGTGGAAACATTAAAGCCTCAAGTGTAATTTAAAAGCATAAAGGATGAACTTGTGAATCCAGCACTCCCCTTCTCCAGCCGGCTCATTATCCCTGTCACACCGGACCAGACCCTCTTGGCACAGCCTTGTGGACTTAATTGAATTAGACATACCCGCTTGTTTAGGCATTGTGTGCTGGCATGAGAACCTCACAGCCACGGCGACGCAGGCAGGAGGAGAGGGCGGCTTTGGCGGCACTCATCTGGCAGATCTGAGGCTCGGGCGGCTACAGAAGATGGGAACCATGGACCACCAGCCTCCTATTGAGGCCAGACCAGTGCCAAGAGCAGAGGACTAGGTCCTGCACTTAGCCAAAAATGAAAGATATTTTTGAACGTGAATCTTTATGAACATATGGCTGACAATCAAAAACTTAAGGAAGCAAAAGTGTCGAGACTTTAGTGTAGAACATGCAGTACTGACAGCCTTCATTGGGGATACAGTATACTCCCATTGACTTAAACATGAGGTTAACAGATGGGAAGAGTCCGCAGGAGCTGGATCTGCAGGATTATTTCTATGATGCATGTTTTGGGTGGTGGAGAAAACTGAGTGGCCGGAGGAAACCCACCCAAGCATGGGAGAAACATGGAAACTCCACACAAAGAGGCTGACATCGAACCCACAACCTTCTTGCTATGAAGCATGAGTGCTACCCACCGTGATGCAAGTAAATTCCTCAATCACAATTCTCCAAAACTTTGTAATAAATAAATAACAAAAGACAAGAAAACTACGTATCTTAAATACATTCCCAAGTCATTTCTATTGGTTTCATATTTGGATTCAGCCTTTCTTGCAGCCTTTGTCAGTAAGGACAGCACACAACATGCCAGTTTAACCCTCTGACATTTCCTTTTCCCTGCCTTTAAAGCCACAGAAGTCACTTTGTGTATCGAGATTTATCTATAGTTCAGATTGTTGAGTACCCTCTTCTAATGTGATTGCCCTTTTCCCTTTAAGCAGATGGGTGATAAATGGATGGCTCTACCAGCAGACACCTCACTGCTGTCACTACATAAGACTACAGCTCTAACCTCAGGGTCAGGCCCAGATTGACACCCTAACCCAGAGCCCTGATCCTCCTCCAGCCCCTTTAGAAGTGCACCCGGCCGGCAGTAACTTTATTCACCAGGAGATCAGTCAGCCTGAAAAGATAAGCTCTGAATAATTGGGAGTCCACGGACCACGCAGAATCTGATGGGATCTCGCAGTCTTTAACTCTTTTTCTTCAGGCTCTTGTGAGTGGAGGGCAGCCCTTGTTAGGCTCAGGACAGGCCAGATGGGACACAGCTAAGGAGAAGAGGGGTGACACTGCAATGGGACAGGGGTGGTGCTGGTCACGTGTGTTATGGTCAATGTGGAGATGATTGAATCTTAACAGCCACCAGTGGAAAGGCCCCAGTGGACAACAAACACTCTCAGACAATGTGCATGATTTGACTTTCTCCTATTAACGCTGTTGTCCCGGATTTTCCCCTTTTTACAAACTTACGAAAAAAAAAACTTTATTAGGCTTTGCTGTAGTGTCCTCACATTCTCATACATTCCACAAATCTCAATTATTCACCATGAAAGGTATATAGTCTATTTTCTCAACTTTTTTCAATTCAATAGTAGTTTTATTTAATTTGATATTATTATGATTTCCACTTATTTTGATGTAGGTTGGCTTTCAATCTTATTCTGTTTTTGAATTTTTGACAAATGACATTTTTCCATTGTGCTACAAATAATGGTTTTCAAATCTAATTTACCATAGTTATTTTACTTTACGTATGAATAATTTTGGTTGAGATTTTCAGAAACATCCGTCTTCTCAAATTTTTCATTGTTTGGCAGTGAATAAACCTTTTAAATGTCCATATTGTACTAATAAAACCCCAGAGGGTTCCCTTAAACTAAAACCAACTGTTGAGCCGTTTCATTTCACTTCACTGCTCATTAATAGAGCGATCACATTTCCCCACAGGAGGCACAATCGAAACAATAGCCGTGTAAACAAGGCACTTAGCTTGTGTAGCCATTGCAGTTAATCATCCTTGTGTCAAATTAGCATTTCGCTGCTCTGCATGGATGACACTGCAGTAGATAGACAGAGCATCGTTAGCAACAAAAGCTAACAAAAGCTAAGCAATGGGAGGCAACCGCTCCACTGGTAGTGTCAGGTCTTGGGTCAGGCTGGTACGAAGCCAGAGGAGGCCCACATGAATGTCCTACACAAGGCTGTACTGTACCCGGGCGTGGGGAGAGAGGGCAGCTAGACCGGGACGCCTCAGAAAAGGACCACACACTCACATCTCATTACCATCCAGCTCCGACAGGCCGGCCAACGCTTTCATCTTCCTCCTCAGAAGTATGGGCAAAGACACACTTGGAGCGAAAACGAGAAACATGGTTAATCTGAAGTGGAGCTGCACAAAGGGACGGATCAGAGCTGAGCGTCCAGTTAGCTTTTATCTACTATAAGAGGACATGATTTTCACAATTGGCCAAAAGTGGTCATGTTTGCACTGATTAGATCACAGTGTTGGCTTTTTTTGTACTTTTTTATTATTATTTTATTCTTATTCATTTTTTTAACAGCGTTGATTATTACTTTTGTGCTAGGGATTTCAGCTAATCATTTACCTCTATAATAAAGCCATATAGACCTCTTAAAAGTAATAAATGCACTGGAAAACATTTATAATTTCTGCTGATTTATGAGCGTTGTGACAATCCAGTACAAGGTTGCCATCTTAAAAATCACAAACAATGCCAAAAGCACAACTTGGCATCCTCACTGTATTGCATGGACCTATTGACTTCTCTTGTTTGCAGAAAAAAAATACTCCATGGAAATGACCTTGCCATTCATGCATTGTGTCCCGTCTGTAATCTCTGTACAATTTGCCCTCGGTTCCTATCGGTTATTTATAGAGGTAAGCGTTTCTTATCACACAGCAATATCTTTACTTAAATGTACCATAATTAAATACCTTTGCAGTCTGCAGCCATCATGACCACATCCATATTTTCACTTGTCAATCTAGAGGCCCATGCTTCCTCTCCTAAAAACACAGAGTATTGTATGTTTTATAAGTTACTTTCCTGCACTTATAGCAAGAAAACACAAATGTCAGCACAGGGAAAACGTCGTCAGAGATTAGATTAGGATAGTACCTTAAATGTATTGTGTCCTCACTCTGCCAGGTTCAAAATGGCTGACTTCTGATTTCTGGCCATTGTTTTGATTGCTGCATATGATATGAACATATGAACCAAAGGACCACTTACACATCCACTCAATGTCACAAAACCACATGCAATTTCTGTCATAGATAACATCTTTTATGGCTCTGTCATTGTCACTACTACAGAAATAAAACTATCCACAAAAAACAAGTAATTTGAGAAAAAACGACCAGGTTCCGTAGTTGAAGTGCTAAGCGTCTACGCGAAGACGGAAAACGTTGTAGTTCTAGCGCCTGGCCAGTAGTGGGCAGTGGATCTTTACAACGCAACACGACCAGCGACCCCCACCAGTATAATCACTTCCTCAACAACTCCTCAGGCCACTGCAAAGACGTGAAAGAATGCACCAACATCATTCTGCATTTAACTGTAGCAGCGAAAATGGAAACTGAAACTACAGCTTTGCGTGGTTTGGTTTGGACGAAGGTGTAGAATTCCCCATCCGTCTAGCGCTCGAAGCACACGTAGCATTAGTTGACCCGCCGCCGCCATTGTTGTTACGCTTTTTCTCGGCTACTGCGCATGTCCAAATGTACGTGCAGGGAAGTGATGAGGTCACTGCAGAGAGAGATGTCACACCTTTTTTTCACACGGCTTCCCAACTCGTGTAAACGGCCCCTATATCTTAGTTTAGTGTGTAAACAAAATCGTAGACATTGTCGCTGTAGAATGACTAATTGTACTTTCTTGCCGTCCCATAAATAAAACAACCCAAAATAAACACGTAAGGTTGTGTCACCAGCGTTTGGTCATGATATTTTTTAAAAAACTAAAAAAAACACACTTTTTAAAGCTATAATGATAGACTGGTCGACTAATACCCTTTTTGATACTTTATGATAATACAATTTGAGTTTATTTGGCCAATATTCCTTGTGAGACCAATGTTTAATGTGGCTTTCTTCCTCAGTAGTTTGTCCCATTTTTAAATTGTCTTTTATCTCCTTTACCTATCACTGCTGAAGAGGCCCAATATTATAAATCAGTAGCGGTTAGTAATTCTCTTCATTTAAACAAAGGGCAGGGGAATAAAGACCCATTAAGATGACAAGTGAATTGGCAAACAAACTGTTTAATTTGTTTGTGTGCAGTGAAGGGGGCATTCCCGGAGTGGGGCAGCCCAAATTTACATCTGATTGGAGTTTAATGGTCCATGGACACTTTTCTCTTCACCATCACCATAACAACTGAGCTTTTCTCTTGATTTTTTTCAACTGGATAAAATGTCCCTTATTTGGTCCATTGGGGTGTGTCACCAAGCCAGCCAAAGGGAGCTGGGGCTTGTACGTATCAATTTGTTTCTGTTGCAGCGCCCTCACTTGCTCCGGCAATGAATATATGGTCCATTGAATTTGCCGGGACAAAGGCCACAGCTGATGCGGTTTCCACGGAGACACGCCCACACAAAGCATAGGAATGATGACATATGGTCCCAACCTGCCCAGTCAGGCGGACCCCAATAGTCCTCCCCTGCATTGACGAAACAAAACCCGGCGTTAGTCATTTATCCGTGCTTACTCATTTCATGGTAAAATAAACTTCTTATAAAGTTTGGGCTGGTGAAAAAAACCACCATGTAAAGTGGGGGATTCATCATGAAGTCGTTAACAATGGCTCCTTTACCACCTGCCTCTGCGTTAATACGGCTATTAAGGCCTCTGGGTTTTGTTTAGGGATAAAAGCAGTGGAGATGGAGGCAAAAAGTATGAAGTTAAATACGTCTGTGAATGAAGCATATGTCACTTTGAATATGAGCCAAAACATCAAATCTGAAGAAGGGATTCTAAGGGCGTGTTCACACTTCAGTCTCAAGTGAACCGGAGAATTAACCCTCAAATGCTTCATGTCTGGAGATGTAAATGTGAATACCGTTCCAATAGTCACTGAAGTCATTTTGGTAGATTCACATCTCCATAAACAAAGTATTTTTGCCCCAATTGTTTGACTTGAAGTTGGGACTGACCCTGTTAGATGTATCAAATAAATCTTTTTTATTTCTTAATCAAGGCTTAATTATAAATATTCAATATTAGATGGCAAACCATTTAATAATGATTGATA